GAGACACGGGCCCGGCCGGCCACGTTGGAGCCGCGGGCGCTGCTAGGGCGCGACAGGGACGCGGGCCACGGACATGCCCTGTGACCTTGGTGGCCGCGCTGGCTCAGCCTCAGTTTCCTGCTCCCTGGGAAGGCAGAGGGGATGCCACCTGCCCCGGAGCTGTTCCCTCCCCCGCAGTGGGCGCCTGCTGTGTGCCAGGCCCGGCTCCAGCCCGGGGTGGGGGTACGGCCCGGCCTGGCAGAGATGCCGGGACGGGTGGTCAGGGGGCCCTGCCAGCTGCGGAAGTAAAAGGCAGGAGAGGGCAAGGGCCGGGCGGCAGACAGGGCCTCCCCGGCTCTGGAGAGGCCTAAGGAGGAGAGCAGGGAGCCAAGGCCAGGACGGCGCGCAAAGGCCCTGGGATGGGGCCGGGCTCTCAGTTCCCCAGGGGCCAGGTTCCGCTTGTGTTCGAATCCCTTCATGCCTGCGAGGGCCCTGTAGGTCTGCTACTCCCGGACCTGGCGGGGGCCCTGGCTGGTGGCAGGCTGGTGTTGGAGGCTCTGGGCAGTGCAGAGGCGCGTTGCTTATTTTTATTTTAAAGAATGATTAGGACCAGCAGATAGCATAATGATTATGTTGCTAGATTCCCATGTAGTCCATCACAGTTCGAGTCCCGGACCCGGTGGCTTAAAACTCAACGCCGGACATGCCTGCATGCGTGCCCAAAATCTCCAGACTAGAGGAGAAGGGATTGTGGAGTGACCATCTCCCCGGGGGGTGATTTCTCACTTTCTGTCTCTCCGGTGAGTGCATACTCTTCTCTTTTAAAAAAATATTTATTTAATTATATTTATTGTATTTTGAATTTGATCAGAGAGAGAGGGAAAGTGAGAAAGCAGGCTGCCAGGTCAGGGGCTTGAACTGTGGTCAGCCACGTGGGAGTCCAGCTCCTTCACCTCCACGCCCCGTGCCAGCCTCAGCTTTGGGCTTTTACACTGGAGAGGTGAACCGAGGAGGGGCAGGCCCTGGCTCTCGCTGTCCTACTTACAAGAGGCTGGGACTTTAAGGCTGCCCCCAGCAGGGGTGGGTATGTGGCCATTTATTTATCCTCGCCACCCCTGTGGGGCCGGCCTCACGGGTGAGTGTCACCTGGGCCTCTTGGGCCTCCGTGGGTGAGTGTCACCTGGGCCTCCTGGGCCTCCGTAAGGTGGAGCTAGAACCACAGTCAGTGTATCCCCCGGCATCAAGATAAATACTATTTGGGCCCAGTGGCTTTGTGTGTGCGCCCAGACCCCAGCAGGCTGGGACGGGAGGAGGGGAGAGTGACTGCACCCTTCTGGGGTGCTTTCTTCCTCCCCCCTCCGTCTCTCTGTCCCTGGCGTGTGTTCTGTGGCAATAAAAAAAAAACTACTACTTTAATTTTTTCAATTACTTATTTTTTAAGTTTTTCATTATTATTACTATTTTTTAAATTTTGCTATTGGGCACATGTGCTCACCAGAGAGAGAAAGCCAGCTGCCAGACTCGAACCACCATCACCCATGTAAGAGTCCAGTGCTCTAACCGCTACAAGGCCTGCTGGCCCTAAGGTATTTTATTTTTTTAAATAGAAGTCAGCGTGGGACCAGCAGATGGCATAATGGTTATATCACTGGACTCCCATGTAGTCATTTGCGGTTCAAGTCCCAGACCCGGCGGCTTAAAGTCAGGCCGTGTGTGTTTGTGGGTGCGCGTGCGCGTGCCCAAGATCCTGGGGAGGATGGAGAAGGAATTCTAGCGTGGCCATGCCCCCGGGGGTGATTTCCTACTTTCTTACCTGTCTTTGTCTCTCCAGCAAGCGCATGTACCTTATAGCAAAAATCTCTAAAAAAATTTTTTTAAATAAATAATAAATTAAAATTAAATTAAAAAATAAAAATCAGTGCAATGCTGGGTTCACATGGGAGGTCATGGGTTCGGTCCCCAACCACTGGCAGGCCAGGTGCACCCAGAGAGGGACAGAGCGAGAGAGATAGGGAAAGTGAGAAAGCAAGCTGCCAGGTCTGAAACCGAGCAAGGACCCCCTAATGCACCTGCTGGAGTTCCTGGAATATAAAGCCCGTTTACACTGCAGCGGCCCCGGGTCAGGAGTCAGTCTTCAGACTGTGGTTACAATGACCAGCAGGGACCACGAGCGAGGGCCATCTGACCTCCACAACTCTCACGTACAGGAAAGGTTTTCATCCCAATAGTGAGATGTCTGTGGGCTGGAAGCTGCTGGCCGTGAGCTCAGAGACTTGGGCTGGACACTCCCAACACCTGGAGGGGAACGTGGTTATCTGAGGCCTCGCCAGTCAGGACTGCCCACGAGCTGATCGGACCGTGCGCCTGGGACCGCTGCCCCGAATTCTGCCCTTGGAAACGCACGTGGGGACGTCTCGGGGAGGGAGGCGGGTCTTTTCAGCACAAGCTGCCCGCTCTCCTCGCTTTGCGCTTTGCAGTAAAGCCGTGCTTCCCTTCACCACACCATGTGCCCACGGCGGGGCTTCACGGCGCCTGGGCCGGCGGACCTCATCTGAGTGCGGTAACAGGTCTGGGACTCGAACTGCGGTTGGCCGTGTGGGAGTCCAGCACCCTTAACCTCATACCGCCTGACCTCACCGCCTGCGTGAGAAGGCCTCAAACTACATTTTTTTAAAAGAATTGTTTTGAGAATTATTTATTTGAATTGTATGTATTCATTTATTTTAACTTGACCAGAGAGAGACAGAGCGAGCGAACGAGAAAGTGAGCCACCAGGTCCAGGACTTGGACCGCGGCCAGCCATGGGGAAGGTCCAGCACCTTACCCACCACGCCACCTGCTGGCTCCTTTAAAGAATTGTTTCATTTTGGGACCAGCAGTTAGCGTAATGGCTATGTCGCTGGACTCCCACGTAGTCGACCATGTATCGAGTCCCGGACCTGGGGGCTTAAACTCACGCCGGGCGCGTGTGCGTGTGTGCCCAAGATCCCGAGAGGAGAATGGAGGAGAAGGGAT